GATACGCATGAACCCTCCCAAACTTCAACTAGTGCTGTCAGTAGAATATGAATTAATCTCTGCATACAAGGGCATGGTTGGACAAATTATTACGGAGTTCAGGAGCCAGCTCCATTGACAAGAACTAGAGAAAATCTCAAAAGTCAGATGCCAGCTATAAAATTTAAGCAGCGATGGCTACCTAGTTTTGAGACTACTCTATCTGCATCTAATCACAACCAATCAGGGAATTCCTACAGGAGATGTATTCTGGCTTTAGCATTACACAAAAACATAACTCTACATGATGGTAACTGCATGCAATAATATTCCAGAAATATATTTGTACAAGTAAAAAAATACAAAAAAAAAACCCCACAGGTATCCCATCCCATGTGAGCAAATAAAAGCTGGAAAGAACAAGCTCAGCTTTGTCCAATGTGCCGCTTTGTCCGGTGACCACATGTACAAGGGAAAAGGGTTTAAGAGTGCACACTTATCGTTCTAATATTTCTAACGTTATCTGCCTCCATTCTACCCAAATGATTTCAGCAGGGCTATAGTTTTAGAACAGCAACGAAGCAAGACCGTGCCCCAGGGAAACTAAAGCTGGGAACACATGGGTCGAATTTAGTAGGAATCCTCAAAGGCCAAAAAATGAGGGAGATGAGGGGGCAGGGCCAGGTCTACTTGGACGGTGGGTCAAAACTGGCATGAAACAGCACCCAGGGATATGGGGATCCTGGGATGCTAAATAGAAATAGCAGGAAATACTTGTCATTTCAAGTTAGTGGAACTTTAGCAACCTACTTTCAACTTGGTATGCTTTAGCTACAACTTTCATTGCCTAACCTATGCAACTTTTGCAGAGATGCTTAATTCCAGCTAGTGTTATTGCCAATTTAATAATAAAACATTATCCAAGTACTGTGTTAATATGGAGTGATTTATTTATAAAAAAAAAAAAAAAAAAAAAAACAGGCCAAAAAAAAAAGGAAAAAAAAAAATTTTCAGTTGCCTACAGCAAACAATCAGATTTGATCTTTAAGTTGCCTACCTGTTTTAGAGAAATTAAACATGCCATCTGACTTTACAATAAAGAAAAAACACATTAAACTTGTCTATGCCGTTTTATACAGCAACCCAAAATTATCTAAAATTGTCATTTATAAAAAAAACACAAAAACAAAACGATTGTGTTTACCATGCACACAGAAGCATTTTTTTTTTTAAATGGCTGGCGTCTTACCATATATTGCTAGGCCGGGTTTGGTCTGCCACTAATATTCTATCCTGAAAGGTCGTTAAAAGCTCTGGAGCCGTCCATCTAACTGGAATGAACTTGTCTTCAGAGACCTCCATGTAGTCTCCCTATAAATACAATTAAGCAAAATACAATTATGAAACACAAGATTAAACCCTTACTTCTGGCAACATTAATGCATTCTTTATGGAAGAGACTAAAGCCATCATCATCTATGACCTCAATGACAGTTGAACTGTACTAGCTCTACAATAATGACACAAGAGTGTTCTACATAAATTTTACTTCTTACTGAATTGCCAAAGGCAGTCTAAAATACAAATTTAAAAAAATCCTTACCTTATACCTACTGAATCCTATGCCATAGTCTCCTATTTTCACGGTTAAATCGGATGTCAAGAAGCAATTCCGTAAGGCCAGATCGCTGGAAAACAAGAAAAGGATGAATGGCACATATGAACAAAGTTTACCAGGACTTTACAGCACGCTACAGATTCTGAACTGATGTTATGCAGCCTCCTCTTTCAGGTAACCCCATTTTTTGCACCCATGTTATAATCCAAATTTTAGGCCTGAAAATGACAACTCCCAAACATTATATATTTTCTGAAAGCCAAGACCCTACAGAATAAAATGGTGGCAGTTGCAAATTTTTATGTTCCACAACATTAGCGTAACTTATTATCCAACCCAAAAATTTAGTGAAAAATGCACTTAAATGTATTGCCCCAAAACACTATATAAAAGATAAGGCTACAACGAGTAAATAAATACCCAACATGCCCACGTTAAAAGTTGTGTGCGTCCTAAAAACTGCGACAGATTTCAGTACACCAAAAAGTCCATAGACACTTTAAAAGCCCCTACAGGTCAACAGTTGAGATGAGTGTAAATATTGGCCCTAGAATTATTGCTCTCACTCCGGCGTGCGCGGCGATACTAAACATGTGTAGCGCGATTGTCGTTTTCATACTTAGGCTCCACCAACGCGTGTTTAAGTGACAACGCGCGTGCTCGCTGGGGAGGGGGGGAGACTTAAAAAAATGTACAATTATTTTTACATTTAATTTATAGGTTAACTCTAATCTGTTCAAAGGAAGAATGCAGATCTTTGTGATGTTCCCTTTTCATTTCAGAGTTGTACTGTGACACCATCCAGCAGAACAGGTAAAGTCAATAAATGGAAGAAATTCTTTGCTCATACAGAGGAAGCACGAGGCATGTTTAACTGAAAGTAAACAAAGTGGACAGCAGGGCATTCAGGTGTGCTATTTAAGCTGTTATCCACTAATAACACATATACGGGAAGTGACAATATAACCAGAATTTCACGAAGACAAAATGACCCAAATCATTGGATTAGGTTTATAGTTCCAGAAAAAAAAATGTTGCAAAGCTGAGAGAAATAAATTTCAACATTTACACTTTAAAGCGAGTATGGAAACGTTTAACCAAGTCAGATAATGACTAATGTGGGCCTCCAAAATAGGCTTGCACATACCTTCAGTAGCCCGAGGAGAAACAGAAACTAAGGGTACTCAAGGATCCAAACATCAGCTTCATTTAGAATGGCACATTGACCCACCCAAATGACTTGTGCCACTATTCCTGCTTTGATATACCCTGGTGAGCGTAAAAAAAAAAGTGTATCTCAACCCAAAAGCAAGAATCCATATATTGCAGCTTACCAATCCTCATATGTGGTGGCTGCATTAGTATTTTTTTTTTTTAGGCTTGTTTCCTTTATTTTGACCTGGTGATTCAACAAGTTTGGCATTTTTCAACATTCTTTAACCCCTTCATGACTGAGCTTGTTTTTGGTTTCTGTTCGTAAATGACTGACACACTTTTGACATTTTTGCTGTGTGATTCTTCCACGTCAGTAATATACTTTCTTACAAAGTGCACCCACACATATTATATATTGTTTTTTAGAGGACAGATAGGGCTATATATTTATATCACATATGTGTGTCTAACGCCTCACTTAGGACAAATACAAATTAAAAAAAGAGGAAAAAACGTAAAAAAAACGTCCAACGGTGGCTCTGTAGCTCCTCCATAGAAAGTAGCCACCCTAAGACAGGAATTGTGTTACTGGTCGGATCAGGTAAAAAAGAAATCCTAAAACAGAGAAAACATTAATGCAGCCACTACATTTAGGGATTGGTTAGCTGCAATATATATATTTTTTTGGAGGGGGGGGGGGGGGGGGGGGAATGTGGAGAGTCCAGAAAGGTGGCTTAGCCGCTTTTATTTACCACCAACAACAAAATCACTGATGCTGGAGATTTGCCTTTAACTCAGACAGCATCAGGATATTGTTGCCAGAAGTAAACAGATTGCCTCTCCAGTGTATGGCTATTGTGAATAGGAGCTCCTGCCAAACACCATGGCATACACCAATATCAGCCACAAATAATTAAAGTCACAAGGGATGATTAATTTACGCATGAACCCAATCGCATACATTTTAACTTTACAGTTGAGTTTTTATCAAGAATATTTAAAAAAAATGTATCCTTAGGAAGTCATATCAAATGAACTTTGAATCAAAGCCCTATCTGTGGATGTAAAATTCCCGTTTGCTTATCATCTAAGGACACGAACACAACTCTACTAAATAGGGCAGTGCGTCCACACAGATCATAGGAGCTCCGCAGCAAATGTTTGATGGGGCTCCCCCCAGTGTCCTCTCTACCGTCATTGATCATAACAAACTATGTCTAAATCAAGCATAGGTAGCAGGAGAGCCATCAGCATAGTCAGTGCACTACTAGGGACCAGAGGTCTGGACAGAAGTTGTTAGGAAATAGGGGGACATTGGTGTAGGGAGGTAATTTATTTTATTCCTCAAAGCGGACTAATCTGTCCTCAGTAGCTTACTAGTCATTTTCAGCATCTCAGTGTAAACTCTAAGCCCTTCCACTGCCAGAGCAATTAAGAGCTGAAAGGGTTGGTATAGGAATCAGTAAAAAGAACAAACAATAGTGTGTGTATGTAGATAGATAGATATACATACATACATACACACATTTTTTTTTTTTTACAGAACTACAATCAGTTGTCTGTTTTTAGCTTAAAGAGTCTCTGGTATTTTTTTTTCTGCCCAAGGAAGACTGCATTAGACATACAGGGTTAATTTCAGTGCCCAGGACGATCAGAAGGGCAAAAAAATATATACTATTAAGGCAGCTAAACAAATGCTTCTTACTGCACGGCTTGTACATTTTTGCAGTTTCCTGCTGTAAATCTGATTTCCTCTTGATTGGAAATGTCACAGGGGGTACAGGGGCAGTGTCTGATCATCCTGGACACAACCACTGCAATCCCTGATGGACACGTGTTACAGTCACATGCACAGACTTTTTCTATGCTTAAAATTGCTTATGGTTCCCATACTTGCCACCCTGAAAATTCCTAGTCTAGCTACCTACAGGTTGCCCCCAATCAACTCCATCTCTGCTTAAAAGGTGGCAGGCCAACAGAAAGCCAAGAGGAAATCAAAAACACATACTGACAGGGAGGTGCATGAATCCCTAGATGGTGCAGTCAGATGGATTTGATGGTTTTATTTTTGGGTACCTGAGGCTGCATAATGACATGTGGTGTTAGAAGAAAAAAAAAAGGAGTTCAATATTTTCTATTTTTACCCATTTTACCGATCTAAAGCTTCATAAAAATATATCCAGACCGGGTACCAAATTTGTCTTTGAAAAAAATACAAGATCTATGTTAGCAAAGACTACAAAAGCCTTAAAGTTTTTAGGAGTTAAAAAGGAGGAAAAGGGGGGATTTGGAACTGAAGTGTTTAACGGAAACCTGTACTAAAGGAAATCTGCATTGCAAGTAATCTCTAGTTCTTTGTGGCTTTAGCACTGATTCACTGACCTGGAACAAGATTTAGCAAGTGAAGACAAAACACCTGATCTGTATAACTGTTGCAGGAGTCCTGTAGTCCTGAGTGAAGAGCTGTCACAAGTCATGCTATGTGACATTCATGCATGTCCCATATATATTGCTATATACATATCTCTAAGATGGGTTTCAAAAAGATCAATGAAAACTAAGCCACATCTCTAAAGTGTTCACTCATCAATACATATAACAGATGACACTGTACAACTTATGAGAGTTGTGAAAGGAGATATCCTACAGCTTTCCGAAAGGATTCCGCATATCTATACAGACCAGCATGATTAGAAAACGCAAGCCTAACATTCATCTTGCAAATACCACTCAATCTTTGAAAGGATGCGTTTCTCTCTCCCCCCCCCTCCCGCCCTCACAGAAATATTACGCATTTACAGATTAAAAACTGGAGAGAAAAAAACCCGTTGGATTTGATATTACGGACACCCTCTGCACTCTGGGTCTAGACAGCGTGTAGGCCTTCCTAAACCAATAGGTCAGGGAAACCACTCGAAACCAAGTGTCAGATGTCAGCTATTTGTAAAGAATGGCAACAAGTGCTTTCTCTGAGCATAGATTAAGTATCTGTTCACTGACAGGCAAGATGCTGAATTCATACCAGACAAAGTGATGTAATAGACCAAACTGATTAGAGTGCTAACTGCTATTTTCAGCAGTTCCTTGCAGATTAAGAGGAGGAATCCAATTGCGTTTAAATCTAACAGCTCTGCTTTTTGACGGAAATGGTTTGTGCATGAAGAAATGAAGACCACTAAAGTAGAAATGTACACAGAAAATTGATATTAAAAAAGGTAAAGTGCAACACAATTATATCAGTGAATTTCTTATACTAGCTAGTAAAGATTGCAACTGTGTTCAAGTCAGAAAGTCCACCCAAATGAATGTTATGAAATGCAGATCTCACACTGAGTGGTAGACTCAGCTCTGGTCATATTTGTGTCATCAAACAGCACACAACAGGTTGATGGTAGCTGACCTGCATACTTGACATGCAATTTTCAGCTGCGTGTCAACCTGAAAATTGTAATCCATGCCACATGAAAATCAGAAACCCACAGCAGGCAGGCTGTGTCCTTTATGTATTTCTGTTTTACATTGATTGGAAGGTACCTTTGACTAACAATAAAAACCTTACAACAAAAACATTGACAGCAAACTAGCAAAGCTTCCTGCAACTGCTAGAAGTTATGTACAGAGCTGCAGTCTCCAACCAGAGTACTGTACTTGGCAATGTAACAGGACCTCCTTCCCCTGAATTAACGGTGGGTAACTGTGGGCATAGGGCTCTGTTTATGGAGCTTTTCCATTTATTTGTGTTCAAATGAGACAGGAAAAACAGCAGGACATTTTCACAACAGCCATAAAAATGTATTTTTATTGTACAGTAAAAGAGGGATAAACCCATTATCAGGTTATCATAGTTTGGGAAATTTGCTAAAATTACCCATCTTCCAGACAGTGCTCAGTGTGATAGTATATGAGAATGAAATGTGAGCAGTATACAATGTCTGATCATACAGTATTTCCTAATGTCAGGTCCTGTTTTTTTTATTGTCCAATTTGTCAGCGCTTGGTGGAGTATTCCAATATCGAAAATCAGAAGGAATGTTCAGAGATAGATAAATCAATGATGACAGAGGGGGCTGCTGTTCTATAGCAGGAAGGGAAGCCTCCGAAAACATAAGAAACGGCGCCTTCTCCTCATGAAACAACATTTATTGTCCAATTTGTTAAAACTGAACAATACTCACAAATTGCGTCTTCAGCAAAGCATTTCTTAAAAGTAACCGAATAAAACCGGCCTATTCCAACAGCAGACGACCGAAATGTGGACCAGAATCTTACAGGTCTATTCACAAAAGGGTGGAGAGTTTAGAGAAGGCGGGAGAAGTGAACAATCTAGGACAACATAGCTGAACTGGAGATTTTTTTCCCAAATCAGTTATGTTGTCCTAGATTGTTCACTTCTCCTGCCTTCTCCATACTCTTCACCCTTTTGTGAATAGACCTGTTAGTTCTGCTGACGCGTTTCCAGGGATAAACCCTCTTCATCAGAGCAAGGTCAAGCAGACTGAAAAATGCTCCATTACATATACTCACAAATATACCTGCACATTGGCCCATGCACTGCATCACAACCGCAGTCCTGGCCATCTCATCAATCAAATTGCAAACCAGTTCACTTGTAAATGTCATCTCCACATATGCTTCCACATACCAATAAACTTCCCATCTCACCACCGACAGACCGCCATAACCCATCAATTCGGCCGACGGGGACACAGAACGTAACACGGAAGTAACGTCACATGTAGAAGCCTATGTGGAGGTGACATATACATGGGCCAATGTGCAGGTATATTTGTGTGTGTATATGTAATGGAGCATTTTTCAGTCTGCTTGACCTTGCACTGCTGAAGAGGGTTTATCCCTGGAAACGTGTCAGCAACACTAAGATTCTGGTCCACATTTCGGTCATCTGCTGTTGAAATAGGCCGGTTTTTGTCGGTTACTTTTAAGAAATGCTTTGCTAAAGACACAGTTTGTGAGAATTATTTCATTTAGTTTTCACAAATTGGACAATAAACATTTTGAGAGGAGAAGGCGGCGTTCTTTTTAATGTTTTCCCTGGGTTTTTTTTTTCTTGGAACAGAGATCTACCATGAAATTTTTTTTTTTAATCAAAACTGGAGCAGACAAAATCTGGAGCAGTTGCCCATGGGAACCAATCAGCTTCTCTCTTCAGTTTGCTCAGGTAAGATTTGAAAATGAGACAGAAAAGCTGATTGGCGCTGTGGAAATCTGCTCCAGAATTTGTCTGCTCCAGTTCTGATAAATTCCCCTCACAGTATGGTAATTTTTACAATTATAAGCAACTACTTTTGTTTCTTTCTTATTTAATAACCCAGTGACAGTTTAATAATCTACATCAACCAACATGGTTGCTGCTAGAAAAGGGGTCTGATTTTTAACTGAAGAAAACTGCAAGTACCTGACCCATACACCATTAAAATAGGAAAAAATAAGAAAAACGGAAATAAAGCTTAAAAAAAAAAAAAAAAAAGGCAGTAAAATGGTTTGTACATTTTTTTAATTTCCAATTTAGGAGCTGAAAGGGTCAATTTGTGCATTAGAGAGTTCACCTGCATCACCTCCTGTTGGTGAAGTGGCTTTAAAATACGAATACCTTTGAACACATTTTCTGAAAGGTCTGATTTCAGTTTGCTAAGCACGTCATACCGCAGGTTGAAGGTCCCACTTCTCATTTTCAACCAATACAAAATGACCCCAACAGTGCTGAGCACTTCAAAACAGCAGGTAGGAGGTCCCACTTCTTATCTGAACTAATACAAATGGCCTCAACTGTATTGGATTGTAATGGAGGAATCTGGCAACCTGGGGCTCAGATCTTTCCCATTCAGAAGCACAAAATCAATGGTGTGTCGCCAGGGAAGTGAAGACGACAAGAGCTGTAGCATAGATTCATAGATATTTTTACAGCACATTAATAAGGGGGTGAGCTACATATTAAAAAGAAAACTGTAAATTTTACTGGCCTCGGAATGTTAAGTAATGATTATTGAACACGGCCCTTGATTTTAGTACTGCCCATAATAAAATCTATAAATGGTTTCCAAACAGAGGATTTCAATTTTATTTCTGGAAATGCTCTTCAAGACACATTGTTGGCGGGTGATCTCTTGCTTACATGGTAGTATTACACCCTCCGAAAAGGCATATTAAAATCACATTTTGAAATGAAACCAAGGTAACCACTGTATAGGGGATACACGTACCAGTGTACAAAGTTGTGTTTGTGCATTATGGCCAGTCCAGCAGCGATCTCACAAGCCATACGCTGCAGCAGCATGATCTCCGTGTCGCTGTTCAACTTCTGCCTCTCATTACTTAAATAGGTCTTCAGGTCACCCTGCAAAGGAAAGCAGCATAACATCATCAGCTTGTTCATCTGCTGATTGCACTTCAGACATGCTTAAAAAGCAGCAACTAAATACATTACTTAGATCTAATCAGTCAACAAGGTTATTATTAGTAAAGTTGAACAGCTTAATAGTCTTCAACTCATCATGTTTCATGTCTCAAATAAGAATTCCTCCCGAACACACCATGTACTTTTCCTTTTAAGGGTAATTTAAGTTTCTTCCTGTTTATCCTACAATATAGCCACTAGCATTTAACAACGAGAAAAACTTTTTTTTAAATAAAAGCGGTCAATAGCAGCACACACCATTGTAAGCCACCAACCAGTGACCCAGGCCATATCAAATACAAATGTGTTGTAAATCCTTTGTCTTTAAAGCAGAACTCCACACAAACGGCTAAATGCACACCTCACTACTAGTCTGAAAGGCTAAACACTTCAGGGGATGAACAATGAAGTGTGAAATATAGAATGGGGCAGAGTTTGAGCTTTCAACAATAGAGCACCATAGGTTTTGTGGCTCCCATAGAACACGAGCAGCTATTTAAAGGCTTAGTCCACCTTTTAGATCATGTTTCATGTTACACCTACATTTAGTGTGTAACATAAAACATGTGGTATATAGCATCCCTCAAATCTAAAACATACTCACTTTTAACCAAATGCATGCAGCATGCACTGACACGATACTGCAACGCAATAGTGTGAATGGGCTTGTAAAGTAAAACTGCCCCAAACCTGGGCAATTCAAACTAGGTATATGACAAACAATGCAGAGGTTACCTTTAATAAAAGGCTACATGTCAAAACTATCTGGGGATTCAGAGATCTAATCAGCTGACGTTATGTGGAAATCCTGACTTTACCTGAAAGTCATGACTGGCCCTGCTCCCTCCCACCTTCTTTGGCACTCTATTGGTCAGTGAGACTAGCTATCATTTTAAAGGATAGAGAGACTCAGGAGGAAGGACTAAAATTTACTAATTAAATAATGTGAATAAAGCAGAGGTTTCAGACACCTGCAGGAAAGCTACAGGGAGCCACATCATAAGGTAGCAGAGAGCCACATGTGGCTCCGGACCTCTTGCTGGGGATCTGAGCATTAGATTATAAGCTTGTTCAGCCAGGAATTACTTTTTGTACTAGGTTCTGCTATGCAGTTATGTTTATGCATCTATTTAGTACCGGGACAGCTACTATGAAACAGTGACATGTATAAAATGATGAACTATCTCTGGATCAGCCATTCTAGCAAACTAAATACATATACCAAGAGAACCAATACCAGACCAACTATTCTAGTTTCATCTGATATTTAATGGTTTTATTTTACACAAAAAGGGCCTGGGGGTAAATACCTGAAGCTCAACTGCAAAATGTGGGGTATATGCTGAGCCGTCCTGTTATGATTATTAACAATGACGCCACTTCCATCTGTGTGTCTGCCACATTGGGAGTGAGCTCACAGTGACTGACAGCAGGACATATGTTTATACTGCAGAATGTGGTACCTTTATTGGTTAAATATTAAAAGTTTCAAGAATAAAATTGGCTAAATATATATGCAAAGTTTAAAAAAAAAAAAAAACTCCTCCTTTAAGAGCCTAAGTCATCTTAATGTACCCAAAAATATGGCTGGAAAATATAATCCATGTGCTGTGATAAACAGAAATGCACAATAAGATCAAATACATGAAGAGATCAAGAATTCCATGGTTGCAGGAAGTTTCCACAAGTGTAATTTTATGGTTTCCATTAATCATAAGTTATTTTAAAGACAATAAGAGATAACAGAATGCATTTTTATAGGACTGCAACTAATGATTATTTTGATTAAATCAGATTTGAAAGAAATCAATACCATCTTTATTTTAAAATAAAAAACACACAAATGCAGTGTTACAAAAGTTTACTTTAGAATAAAACTGCATGCACAAAATTTTGCAATCGTGCTGCACTGGAATGAACACCATTGTGGTAGGGTGTGTTCCAGTGCAGGTGATCACACTGTGGGTGGGAGGCATGTTTGGGGTGCCATGGAAATGAATGGCACTGCAACATGCCTCCAGCAGCAGAATTTGTCAGGCCGGAACCGAAAATGACTTTCGCCACCTTTTTATATATACATTTCTTTTTAATAACTGTATTGTAAGCACATGGCGCTTGAATAGCTTCAGCCAGGGAATGACCGCTGCCAGTGGCAAGATTTCTCAGATGGCAGCTGAATGTAAATACAGCAGGTAGTGGGCTGGTGCAATAGCCAACCGGTTATTGGCCATTTCAAACTGCAATAGCAGGCTGGCTATAGCACCTGCCCACTGCTTGCTGTGCGCTCCTCCGAGCATGGAGGAGAGAGCTAGGGGGATCCAACCAACTAATCGATAATGAAAATAGTTAACAAGTATTCTCATAATCGATCACTTGGTTGCAGCCCTACATTTTTCCATTAAATCGGGGAAGAGCAAGTTGTATTGTTTGCTGTGGTCAGCACATAACAGTAGATCAATGTGGAATCAGGTCAGCATAGAAAATACCCAAGCATTGTCACATAAGAATCACAAAAGCTATTTATTCAGAGCTGCTTCAAGCAACAAATGCCAGACACTGCAAGTGACTATAGCCTTTTATTATAATTTCTGTGCTATGCATTTTCAAAGAGACAGCAAAGAAACAAAAAATTTACTCAGCTAAAAAGGTACCAGACCTGCATAGTCATAAGTGTGGCAACTGCTATTTGCAGAACAAGAATGACAGCAAAGTGACTAAGCAGCGGTTGGCCGGGTTTACTACAGATAATATCCAGCTGAAAAACAACCGCAGACAGATAATCTGTGTCCCTACCATGCACTTCAAGCTTTAATTTACTTTGATTGTACACAATAGAGATGGCACCATTCAACTGGAGACCAGCCCAACACACTTGTAAATACTTTGTTAGCTTACCTCCGAACAGAACACCTCCTACTATGGTATGGAGATGAGAAGAGGAAGAGGTGTTTTGTGGTTGACAAGGGTAGACTGGGCAGTGCTGATAACATTGTTACTCACTACAAAAGGTTATGAGCTCATTGGATTACTGGGAGGTCATCAACAATTGTTTTTTTTGGCACTTAAACAGATTAATCTAGTAATAAAAGTGTTTAACTGGCAAAAGGGGAAAAAATTGAATGTATAAGGTTTGAAAAGTATACTTTTGTTTGATAAAATGTTGATTCGGCTTCAATAGGCAAAACACCAAATGAATTCAATCAAAATTCCACTGGGTGGCAGCATGTCACCATTTTCTGACATGATATAATTTTTACATGCTGCAAATCACATTAGTATATTGTTTTTACTGCGGTAAAGAGAAAAAAATAAAAGTTTATGGGCCTTAAAGCTATAAAACACTAGTTGGCATGGCAAATTGTGGAATAAAGGAATAATTGATATAAAGTATGACACACTATCTTTAGTGGCAACATACTATCCAGCAATATACTATGGGGAAGACAAACTCAATATGTAATGCACAATATAACCAAAACTTTTTTTTCCAATTCTAGAGTGGGCAAGTCTACAAAACCTTTGTCAGGTTTTTAGTGGTGTCTGAGTTCTAGTTGTGTAGATTCCCCCTGTGTTTTGGTCCTGGTAACCACTGCCACGGACAGAATATGATGGGGAATGTCAAAGTTTACAGTTGTCAAAAGAAAGGAGGCAAAAGGGTAAACCCTCTAACGAGAACACCGGATCCGTAGAGAACTGACTAAGAGCAGATTTTTCTCACTTTGGAGCAATGTTTTTACTCCAAGACAGTTAACTCTTAATTACTCCATCTAAAATCTTACAACCAAGATTTGACTATACACACACTCGAATGATCCCCAAACATGGAACACTTCTCACTAATTATGTGACTTTGAAAAGCAAGTTATCACTAGGAATAGATAGAAATAGGCCCTGAAGGATTTAAATTTTCTTAAAGTGAACCTTTACCCCCTTTTACTAAAATCACATCAGTATACAGCTTTGCATGCGGATATAAAATCATCTTACATTCCTTAGTTAAGCAAACTCGTTTTTTCTCACTTGCTTACAAATAGAGTTCATCTACTTCCTGGTGCACTTCTGGCACACATGATGTAATGTGCCAAAGCGTTGCATTCTGGGAAGGTTATATCAGACGAGCATTCAAAGGAAACCTCATTAGTAATCTCACGAGATCTCAGGAAGGGCATCTTCCTCCCCTGAGATGATGTGCATGGTTACATGTAATAGTCACATGTGCCAGAGTTCCAGGAAGTAAAGGGAGATCTAGTAATCTGCCCTTAGTAAAAATGGCCACTGTCAGAAGACTGGGGGAGAAAAGAGAACCAAGGTATGCAAAGAATACAAAGCTGGCAATTATCTAGAAGTATGTGTTTGTAGATTGTCATTACTAAACATTTCTAGAGGTATACATGTTGTTATTTTAAAGATATGGGTAAAGTTCCTCTTTAAGAAGCAATTTTAAACAAGCCCTCACTGGCCTCTGTAGCTCCTGGCACTGTGAAGAAATTCATCTTCAAAGTTCCAAAGAGAAACAGCTTTTCCCCTTATGACCGGTTTACATCAATGCATCTTTAACACGCAGGGAAGTAACGTTGAACAGATAGAGCGTTCTCCAAAATAGTCCAAGGTTACAATAGTGTTGATTGCAATAACAGTGCTGAAATGACCGCGGATGCCTCCGCAATACAAGTCCAAAAGAAAATAGGTCACAAGCACTCCAGCATGTAGAAAAGTCAATGTTTATTGACTTCACAGGTGTCACATCAGAGCGACGTTTTGAAACAGCAAAGTTCCTTCCTCAGGCAAAACACATTATCGGTTTTGCCTGAGGAAGGGACTTTGCTGTTCCGAAATGGGGATTTCATGAGATGCCATGAGAACATAGCAGGGCTAGTGTAGGGGCCAGTAGATTGGTAAAAACCTAAAGTGCAGACGAGAGGTGGAAGGCCAGGGCCTTT